CGGTTGCATCCGAGATCGTCCATCAGTGGATAGACATGGTATGCATTGCCTCTTTCTTTCAGATCATCTCCCAAATCAGGTTCTCCTTACTCAACTCTCATATTATAAATACAGCGGCCTCTCGTGTCTAGGAGTCGGTCATCTTCATCACTTGAGCAACTCACATCATCTCAAGAAAGGCCCTCTTCAACTCAACCATCTTTCAATCCGAACCGCCCAGTCTCGCTTGGTACCCAAATTCGAATGCAACTCGGGATATTCTCGAGGGTCACTCAAGTGGCGCTGCCCAACGCAAGTTCCGTGTTCGAGACTACGAACTGAGATGTCGAAGTAGTACATGCCACCCTCCATGTTATAGCACATTCATAACTTGGATCCCATGCAAGCCACGAGATCTTCCCTACCCTCACTGAGCTCGATGGCAGGCCGGAGCGCCCGTCGACATGTGATGGTGTTCACGATGGTGTTCAGGGGCAACCAGTCGTGCAGCCGCGGAATCCTTCACCACCGCCAACTTCCAGCTCCCACGACTGAAGCTTGAAGCCAATGTTACATCTATCCTTCTTGCATTTTGGCTTTTGCGTGCAAAGGCCAGTCTCCTTGAAAGGTCGCCGGAGACACGTCAAGTCACAATGGCCAAGTGCTCCCTGTTGAAATGCCCTTCGACGACAACAATGCTGTTCTGAGGACGCTCTCGTCATGTTGCTAAGAAGTACTGATGCTGTAGCTCGCGTTTGACCCTTGCTCAGTGGCTTTTGGTCATCCTAGATGCAGGCCGGAACCTAGTGGTCGCGCAATCCTTCGCCACTCCTAACGCGGGGCTTCGCGATACAGAAGCCTGTATCCAATAATGCATCTATCTTTCATAGCGGCCAGTTCCTTCATTTCTGAAGGCAGTCTTCTTGAATGGTAGCGTGCGTTTCGTCAAGTCTTAATGACCAAGGGCTTCAAGGCGAACACCCTTCCACGACATCAACGATGGGCTGGAAATGCTCTCATCTCCTTTGGGAGTTGGCTAGCACACGCTATACTGAAGTTCATCATTCAACCTTGTTCAGTGGCTTGCTGCGATCCTGGATGCTCAGACCTTGTGACCGTAGGTGTCCAGCATCCCTCCATTGTAGAGAGCTAGATATTTGGCCACTGTCGCCCATTGGCCTGTCAGAGGTCTCTGCAGTGACCAAAACCAGGTTTCATGATGTGACCACCGTCTTAGTGCTAGTATTGCGGTGTTCCGTCACTGTCAGTGGTTGTTCTAGGCCTGTCCACCTGTTGAAGGGGGGGCTGAGTGAGTCTAGTCCAGCTCGCCACGACCGCTGGCTCATTCTGAAGATGCGTCAAGGTGTGAAAGAAGCTTTATCTCCCGTTCTCATTATCATATTCTCTTACTACCATGTATCTTCATTGTTACTGTCTTGATTGGGCGGCCATGGCGCCCACTAGAACCGCTGCATCGAGATCACGGACTAAAGTAGGGAGGGAATTTCGTTCGCAAATTGACGCAATCTACTTTTCGTTTACCATCTAACTAATAGCATACCAAATGCTAGAGATGCTAAGGGAATTGCTCTCGCACCATAGCAACTGCACTGATAAACTTGGCACTCGATACAAAAGCACACCTATCTGGAAGAGTCACGCTTTTGGTGAGGTCCCCAAAACGTGAGCTCGCCACCCCGTATTGCCAAGCTAGTCCATCTTCCATCCTAAACAATGGTCCTCCTGATGCTCCGCTCTGGCAATCTGCATCTGTTATCAGCCGATCGCCGGGAATATCGCAGGAGTGATAACATCTCTCTACTGTTATTCCATCCTGCCGCATAGGCTTTCCTTTATGATACAAAGAGTTGGTAGGATATCCCACGTGTGACTATCTATCGTTAGTGGTCATTCCTTTGCTTTCTTCTCTTGCACTCACAAAAGCTTGCTTGTTCATCACTGTCTTTGTATCGAATCGCTTTACCCCGAGGTACCCGTGCGTCTCACCCATTCGATCTGCGAGAATCAAGATGGCCCAATCGTTACCGAGTGCGCAATCAAATTTCTCTTGTCCATTTTGGGGGATTTTATGACATTCTAGGCCGTCTAGAGTGATGATGTCCGTCACGTACGATATCCCTCCGCTGCGACCCTCGAGAAAGTTGGATTCGAATGTAACACTGTCGGCGAGCTTATCCCCGAAACAGTGTCTCGCTATCAAGACATGTCGTGGACCAACCAAAGAGCCACTGCAAGTTCTCCCCTTCGCGTTCGCAAATGACTTTGCGCCCAGGAGGATCCTCCCGAGGGAATAGGCGGGGTATTGCGTGTTATTCCATTCGTACCTATCGTCTTTTACAAAGTCTGGTATTTTGCCGACCACCCTAACGATGTCTTGAATGTCGCGCCGCGGAAGTGGTCGATGTGGAGGAACGGGTTTGCCGGCGAAGTTGTCGAGCTGGTGCCTTGGGACGAGGTGAATTCTGGGGATAGGACCAGTTTGGGGAGTAATACGTCGGTGAACTTTTACAGTTGACTTGTTTGCAGTGGTTGCTGGAGTTGCTGCGGGGGGAGGGGGCGGAGGATGTGGGGGACCAGGTGGAGGAACGGGAGGCGGTGGTGGTGGTGGAGGGTGATGGCGAGCCTGAAGTGTGTTGTCGCCCAGGACAGGTGAAGCGAATACCTGGCTGCTGAGGGCCAAGACGGCGATATTGAACAAGTTGAGGATCAACATCCTGTAGCGAACGTGTTCAGAAAGAGAGAGTCTTTCAGCGGCGCCGTTCAATCAGCGAGTACACGCATATTTATTCCCCTCATAATTAGGTTGCGGCGTTTTCGAACTTGTCTTATAAGCAGAATTCACTTTGATGTTGTGAACCTTGTAGCAAGTATGGCCGTCATACAAATGCTACAGCCAAGGTCTCGTCATATCTGAAGCCGATAAGACCATTAAGTTTGATGAAGTAAACCATATCGCTATCTTGGCAACTTAGATCTAGGGCACAGCCTGGCAGCCTCATGCCTGTAAGAAGTTTGGCAGAGCCGTGATATGTCTTTCCGCAGTCTTCAATTTCACTGAAGCATTAGGCACAGTCCCTATGAAAACGAGAACCTTTTTTATATTACACGTTTACCCAGTGCCTCCATCTCCCGTCCAGCTGCTTCCTGCTTCTTTCGCGGCCAGGTGCCTCGTCAAGCATGCAACTCAAATGCACGGAGCCAAGATAAGCTTCCAGCCACAGTTCTCAGCTACAAATGGCAAATCATATAGCAAGCCCCTTCGCCTCTATGTTTAAAAGAGATATAAGTACCCCTCATTCGTTCTATATTGCATGAACCTTGAATCCACTTCTCACGTTCATCGGTGGCCCATGACAACATCACCTTATTCGGGAAATCAACTATTTAGAGTTCTCTCAATTGTTGAAGTAGCAAAACAACCTTGTTTTGCTTATTTCTCCTCCCTCCGTATTTTCTCAACCAACCTTCCTACGTCTTTATCACTCCTTCATGATGACCTCAGCGTCCTGTAGATGTTTGACGAGATCAGCAGGTCCAGTGCTTGAATTCGCTTGGACGTTACAGACCGGCCATGGTGAAGTCGTGGTACCTGTTCTATGATACGTAAACGTGACACCATTGGGATAGATGGCCTCTACAGCCCTTTCGAAAGCAGTCTCGTCCCCAATAAGTCGAATTGGGATATCGTGCATTTGAGTTCCGTAGGTAGCCATTGTTTATACTTGTTCTAATTTAAAGTTACCCCTTATAAGTGGCTATGCTATAATTAATTTTGATGTTGGTTGCTATTTCGTTTTTCTCTGCGACGATGTAATTTATAGGCGACCATGGTAGTTTCGTTGACATCGCAATATACAGCGCACAATGATCCACGCTTCTTGAGAGCGCATAAGTTGTTGAATCGGCTATTCACAGCGTTAAATGTTGTGATTCTCTGGACAAGCAAATCTTTTTTCGTCATCACTCAAACTGAAAGCCTGCAGCTATGAAGTGATAAGGTTCAATTAGATCTGATTGTCTCATTGTATCTGAGATAGCAAGCAGTTCAACTGCTACGTCTCCCCCTTCTCCCTCCAGCAACTGAGCCCATATGTCGGACATCTTCCTCTCACTCCTCGCCCTCTTTCTTTAGAACACCCTCGTCCTGGAGAGTCTTCACCAGATTTGCCGGTCCTGTACTCGCTTGAGGTGCCGTAACCTCATACTTGGCTTCTTCCCCATGTGAACTCTTGATAGGGTGCGTCACTCCTTCACCATAGTGTCTCCTCAATGCGGCTTTGAAAGTATTCACGTCCTTGACAAGACGGATGGGGACATATGTGATTTGACTTCCCCAAGTCTCGGGCTCTTGGGTTGCAGGCATTATTGCAGGTGATGAATATGAATGTGAAAGCTTGCGATAGATTTGATGTATTGTTGTTAATGTTGTCTGTTTGTCTGGCTCTTGACCGGCGAGTCACTTCTTTCTATAGTCAACCTTCCAGCGGTGATGGCTTCACTGTCATTGCAACAGACACTTGTCACAGTCAATCGGGCAGCGTAATTATCAACATTATGTCATTGAACAATCTTCAAATTGCAGACATTTCACTGTCGATTCCTCACTCACATCATCAGGTCCCATAGCTCGCTGATTTACGGTCCTTTCACTTCTGGTCAGTGAATTGTTTCATACCTCTCAGCTAATATGAGTCACAAAATTTGTTTACTTGCTGCCCTAGTTGCTTGTGCAGAAAACTCACTAGATCACGCAAGACTTCAATGCGTCTTCGAATGTGTCAGGTATACCTATTCGGCAAACACTGTCGGTGAAGTCGCACTCACAATTCTGCCACTATGATGATCTTCTCGAATGAAACGCCATCACTTTGCTTTTCTTTCTAACAAAATTAACCCTTTCCCTTCTTTTTGGATGTAGCTATTAAGTTCATGGTCATGGCCTTCCTTGTCTTCCATCACGACATTCCGTCGCTAGCATCACCTCTCTTGTCCACTTTCTCTCATTCCTTCATGACGAGCTCAAGTTCCTGCAGTTTGCGGAGTAGATTGAAATCTGCTGAACCCTTGACCACGAGTCCCTCAATCTTATAATGCGCCATAGCCTCTGTCGTTGTTGTCATGCATACTCCACCAGGGAAGAAGTCGGGCAATTTCTTGTCTATAGCCTCTAGGTCTTCTGCTCTGACGAGCTTATAAGGGATGTAAACGGTGCGTGCACTATGGTCAGTGTTGTCTCCGATATTCGAGTCTCTGGACATTGTGGCGGCGGAGGCTATAATTCACAATTATTCGCGGTGTGATTCTTCAACGGGTATGTGATCATTTGCTTCCTTCTTGGCCAGCTGTTCTACCGACTGGTTGCCTCTATCTATACTCAATGCGCTCTGCTTGTTCGTTGTCACTCACGTTGCATTAGGCACACTGTCACTATGAACAAGGCGTGAACGTCAGGCTATCAGCTTCCTTTTTTGAGAGTGCATTGTCTACAAGTTCATGAGTCCACAAGCTTCTTTACACAGTCCTAAAGGCCCATTCAAGATGCGCAGACGTGCTCTATACACTGTGATTCAACTGTGGTCGCTTTTTCTATTCTCGATAGATACAGTCTCATGCCCTCTTGGTAAGTGTGAGATTAGTAACATAAGCATGGTGCACTGTCACGCATTCTTCGTTGCTCGCATCTTTTCCTCTCACGATTGCTGGGGACACCTCATATTTCAAGACAGTAAAGCGTAGATTACGGCTGGCTAATTATACAGTTGACTTGGTTATATCCTGTTCTCCAACGCTATTTAACCTTGGCTATAGAAAGTAACAGACCTTCTATCACCGTGGCCTACAAGCTTCGCGGTTGCCTCCCCCATCCTTGCCTCTGTGCTCAACCCCGTAGGATATATTCAAAGGCTCTGAGGAATTCTGTAGATCTACATTATCGGGATTGTCTCGGAGCCTAATATTCTTCTAGTGCCTACATTGTCTACAGTTTTCTTCTCAAATGTGACATCAATTGCCAGGCAAAAAGAGTCAAAGTACTAGATATTAGATACAAATAAAAGCCAAATAAAGAGAACCAGTTATTTATCAACGATAGTCTTCCTTCTCATCCCTTCCTTACCCATCACACTACGACCAGCCTCAACAGCCTCCTCCAGCTCGGCCAAACACGCCGCCTTGTCGTAGCAGTTCGTAATATTAATACGATACGTCAGACGGGCAGACATGTTTCTCTGTCCCTGACTCCTCCTGAACTCCATCACCATGCGACCAATAGTAGCAGGGCTTACAACCCTCTCAGGGTGGTTCTTGATATACCAAAACAGCTTCTCATAGAGTAAAGATATCCCAGCAATCATCTTGAGAATAACGGTTGATGTTTGGGTGGCTGTCAAAGGCCCAAAGAAATTCAGAGCCACCAGGAACTTGGAGGTCAGAATGTCTCCTGCTGAAGCATCGAAGCATCCTTGAAGGAAGAGGTTGCGGACCTTGGAGTCGTGGAGGAGGGGCGTACAGCTTGGAATGCCCCAGATGGTGTTGATGATTTTCAGGATCTTGATGAAGGCGCTGTAGAGGGCTGTGGCGCCTACAAATGGGATGAAGGGGATTGAAGAAGTACCAACTGCTTTCCAAAAGACGTCCATGCCCAGATTGATTGACTCTTAGGAGCGTTAGCAACTGGCTATATAGGAAAGGATGGGTGTATTTTACCTTTCAGCTTCATATCTGCCGAGTGACATTGTGCTGCTGTCCACAGAAGTTTGAGACCGTCTGCTAGCAGCATTCCTCTTGTTTCCTTTACCAAGGAATCAACACCTGACGTCTCCATTGGCTCACCTACAAAACATCAGCTATTGTATATGTATAAAGCTTACAATATTCCCCTACCGTCTTCCGGCTGTGGCATGCTGAGCCGGATAATGGCCACGCGCAGCCGCCGTCCAAACTCCCTCTCAAACTGACCGCGATAGTTGGAGTCGTAGTCTGCAATGGCAAAGTTCATTGCATCCTTTTCCAGCTGATCCATATCAACTGCCTTTGTGCGATTACGCTGACGTCGACGCAGCTGGCAGAAGTGATCATCGACCAAGGTATCGAACTGCGTAAAGACGACGACAACAGGTATATCGCCGACGTCGGCGTTGAGGAAGAATTCTTTTTCGGCACTTTCAATCGGTCGATTCGAGCGACAGCTAATGCAGTACCTGGAGACATAACAGTTAGCCAATGCGATCAGGGTGGGTTAAGAGCTGACTCGCCAGATGCAGTGCAGCTGATCTGCCAAGTTAGGCTGCTGTCGACGATACCTGATAAAGCTGTTGATCTCGTCGACGCATTTCAGGTCACCTGCTTCAAAGCCTCCCGAGTCGTGCAGAACAAGGTTCTCATTCTCGCCAGGAAAGGTAATAGGTTGCCAGACCTTTTCCCTCTTTGTCCCGACAGTACGGTGACTAACTCCTGTCTGTATTCGCCGTCGTCACTCGCATGCGCTTTTCACGTTGGAGATATCAATAACTTACCTTCTCAGGAGGGACACCAAACACGACCGAGCATATCGTCGACTTTCCAACGCCGGCTTTGCCAATGACCAGGATGCGAAACTTGTCACAGCTCTCGGGGAGGTTGTTGAACGTGGGGCCCTCAACGACGATCTTGGAGGTGTCAACCTCCAAATTATATTCGTCATTCGGCGCGTTCAAGTTGACGGGGCTCGGTCTTGGACTGTAGTATGTAGCCATTTTATCCTCTCTGATTGCAGGAAAAGAAAGATGAAAGTGTGAAAATCGCAGGGAGGGTAGTTTTCGTTTTCGTTCCCCTCTTTCTTAACCGCCAGCCTGATTTCAAAGTGCAAGTCAGCAAGCCACAGCTAGAGCTGAAAGCATCAACAGCCAATAGCCCAACCGTAGTTGGTTTATTTTCATCCCAAACTGAGACATTGACGCCTGGATCATTGGTAAAGGCGGGTAGAATTCTTTTTTGCCCAGGACTGTACAATGCCGCACCGCATTATCAGCGTACAGAGCGAGTTTCTGTGATAAGGTTGAGGGGTCAAAAGAGACTTCAGCCTCCAGGCCATGAAGGTAAAGAACACTAAAAAAATGCATATAGGTAAAATATTTATTGCCCTTACTATTACTGTTACTTAAGATCTTGCTTTTAGCTGAAAAGCTAGATATTTTAATAACTGACTCTAGGTGTAGAAATAAGTGCTGCCTGCTACTCTTCCGAAAAGACAATCCAGCGTAAAGCACACAAAATACACATAAGGTAAGATGCCCATTAGAAGCAAATCTGTCGACTCAATATAAGACTCTCAAGATGGCTTCCACCATGCCGAAAAGACTAATCCTGTGGCATTCTCAGTGCTGTCTTCAGTTCCAAGTTGTCGTGACCTTTAGGGACCTCATCATCACCGTCCCCGAGCTTCGAAACGTCGGTGGACTCAGAATATCCATAGGATGTCACGCTTCCTCGGCCTTTCAGGTTTCTTCGCTTCTCAATTCACATCTTATTTCAGGTTCGTCGTGACAATGGAGGTCTTGGTTTGACCATCGGCCTAACTTACTCACAACATCACTTCTGTCACTTGTCATTGATGGTTGCTTAACTTATGCGATTCCTATGTGAACAGCTACAGTAGCTCGATACCGTCGGCATCCCAAAATGGCATTTGATGTACGCCTCTCTCCCCCCACGCGACTGGACCCTTTGACTCAGCTCTCATCGTCTGCGACCGAATCGGCCCTGGAGAATAGCACCGACGTCTTGGAGCTTTCTCTGCAGGTCGGTTGGCTCTTTGGTCTTCGCAAGCGCAATAACTCGGCAGGTACTGGGGCTGTACTTGTAGTTGACCTTGAACCCAAGAGGATAAATAACTCTCAGTGCGTCTTCAAATTTTCCTTTGTCGTTAATGAGTTCAAGTTTGATGTCATGTTTGCAGGACCACTCAGCGGCGCCCTGATTAGTCTTGGTGCAAGACCCAGAAGGCATGATTTCTTTAGTGTTGAATATGTGGAGGTTTAGTTGTGTTGAGGTTTTTGGCATGGGAAACGTTGGGGGGTGTCGGTCTATTTATACTTGATCTTAGAGTCATTTCGTTGAAATCTTTGCGCTGAATCTAGCATTGCCTTGATTGCGGGTGTGATCGCCAGTATATCAGTTTTTCATCGTGACTATGTACAGTTCACGATGAGTCACATCAAATGAAAGCAGATTGATGCCTTTCAGGGCCAATCTTGATCACATGCGGAACCACTGACAGGATCTATTCACAGAGGTCACTTCAGCCATGAGGGACGTCAACATGGCCCCTTTCTTCAGGTACTGCCATAAATTGATCTCGTGGAAGTACTTCAGATATTTGCAGCCACTACCTGGGAGCTTATCATTGTTCACAGGATGGCTAACATGTGCCAATCAGTCATGAGTTATCAGGCGCATTCAGTGACAGCTGTGTCTTGTGAATCTCGAAGCTCTCGTATCAGTACAGACATTGATGCTTTTGTCATAAGCTCCTTCGGCAAGTGAACCGCACTCTCATCAAGTAATGTGAACGTTGACTGCCTTACCTCTCAAGGACCACCTATAAAAGGCCCCAAGGACCCCGATTATCATCCCCATACCCTCCATCCAAGTCCACAAGTCCACCAAATACAACAACCAGCATCACACCACAATGCCTATCATCAAAAGATGGGCCAGTACAAATGCTGTCGACACTGAGAAGCTCGTCTTCAGACACGAGTTCCTGGTCAAGCGGTTCTGCAAGATGGAAAAGCTCCGCGATGCGCTCGGGGATATCTTTGGCTCGGATGATTGGGTTGTCGAGTATGATGGAGATAATCTCGTTATCAAGGTGGGAAGCAGGGTTGATCTCAAAGAGGAGTTGAAAGCGCGTGGTATTATCTACAAGTCTATGTGTACAGCTCGGGCTGTGTGGTTTTTCCGGTATTTCGAGTATGCCCGTTACTGCTGAGTTCAAGGTACTGACTCTGGTTTTTGAGCGCAAGCGTGGCCGTGAAGTGCTCATGGTCTGTAGACATCTCGTCATGACAGTTTGTGATAAAGGGGCCAATGGGCCAATGAACTGAATTGCGACTTTGCATGCTAAGCTCCAGCCGCCACAACTGGTTTCTCTTCTTAAATATTAGTATCATTGACTTCAATTGACATTATCATGGATCCTGTTCCTTCAGCATTGTTTGCCAGTTTAAAGTTCGGTTGTAAGACGTACTGAGACTGCAGGGTAGTGTGGTCTGGAGTT